ACATGCACAACGGGTCGGTGTACGTGTATAAAACTGCTGAGCAAGCTTCTTTACACCTGAATGTCACGCTAAAGATAGTCACCATTTCTTTGCAACCATAAGCTAATTTTCATCTGGATGTTTAGTAGAAAACTCAGATGAGTGACGTCATTTCTCGTACATCTGGCCAAAAATTACACTAACGCGGGATCGCACATCTCATTTAAACGGATGCGGTTTCAACGTTAGACCAAAGACTCCCTCAGTGGTTGGACCAGGAGCGTCCTCTGGCGGCCGGAAGGTGAAGGACTGTAGCAGGGTCGAGAAGAACAGGAACAGTTCCATCCTGGCCAGCTGCTCACCAAGACACACACGTCGGCCTGGAAATAAAAAAGATTCCAAGTAGCAAAATCAGCCAACCGTCATGATGTTATGTAACATTCTTGTGGCAAGTATATCTCCAGGGCTGATACAAGGGCCTAAGGAATCAAAGGCTGATAATTACCTCCTGAAAAGGACATGAAAGACTCAGGCTTGTTGACGACGTTCCCTTCCGCGTCCAGAAACCTTCCGGGGTCAAACCGGTCCGGATCAGGCCAGTAGGCGGGGTCCATGTGGAGGGAGTACAGGTTTATCATCACCTGGATCAAGGAAAATAGAAAATACGTCCATCCACTCAAACACACAGTAAACAGAACATAAGAACTAGTACTCTTTCTATAACATTACATGTTGTTTACCCTCGGGCATGAACTTCTAAAAAATATCATGGATGTACCCTAGCTGTGTGCAAATGCATACAGAATTGCCTTCAAATATTTGATGTAAGATGTGTGGTCGTTTTCATTTATCACTTATTTTGGTGGATAGATCTATGGTTTCAGGACCCGAATATCCAAACTTGTCCAGCCCCCCAGAAAGCTATTGACGTGTTTGTATACTCCGTTACCATAGCAACGAGTCAGTCTAATTTTGTGTGTTTCCGGAAGTTCTAGGAATGAGTCTATGACTGGTCAGATACTGGTCAGTTTTCTGGACTATATTTTGGGCCCAGACAAATTTTACTTCGAAGTTGAAGAGCGTTGGCGTGTGGTCGCCGTTGACATGATGTTTCGATATGCATATCTAAACGCTAGAACTCCCACTACATCATCATCCCATACTGCATAGTAAAGTAGATTAGTCTGATAGTATGTTTGTTATCCCAAGGAGGTTAAATTGTATTTTTAAAACCTCCTTGGTTATTCCAAGGACATTCTACAACGGTAAAACGGGGCAGTACTTACTCTCCAAGCAGAGGTTGAATGGGAAGATTGTGACCTTTTTCTATGCCCCGTTTTTTTTCTGATACGGATACTGTCCGCGTGTTGGATACTATCTTTTTTGGCCACCAAAAGATCTGCTTGGAGATTAGTAGTACTCGTAACAGAAGATGCTATAATACCTTTTACCTTGTACATTTTTTGCGGCACTGATAAAGAAAGGAGTTCCTCATTGAATTAAGTTGAATTGCACCAGTGAAAGGATAAAATCAGTTAAGTCTAAAATCATTTTTTTTTCTTACAACGTTAATCATGGTTGTCAAGAGGATATTATAGGCTCCGGCGCCCCTTTAGCTTGGCCCCGACTTTAGATTGTTCGAGATATGACTTTATCTAATTAGTTTATTTAGTATATTTAGTTCAGAAAAGTGGTTTCTAGTTGCCTGTATCTCACTGATTGAAGCAGAACACATTTTATTTCTGAACTATGTTTTCCTTTTGTGAAATTTCGTTAACCTAACAAGACGTCGTCCATCATCATGATCGGCATGCACCACCCTCGGTCCAACGGCTCGCTCCAGCTAGTCTCTACCAGACTCCTTTGCAGGCTGAATAAGTAGTAG